GAAATCGACTCCATCCGGTCCGTTGTCTGCAGTTTCTCCTCCGCAGCTGTACGGCCGTGTGCCGCGTGTCTGGCCCTCAACAGAAATCACCAATTGAAGCGTTCAGCCGACGCTGCTTCACTGCGAGTCGCTGCGACACAGCGAGTCGCGACAGACCCAAGTGTCATTGTCCCCTTCCGTTCTGCCGAGGGACTTGAGCGTGCGGGACACGTTGAGCTCTTTGAGCGGCTCAAGGTGGTCACATCCGCATTGATCGCCGAGCGGGCAGATCGAATAGCGCTGGACAGGGAGATTAAGCGGCGGACATCCCTTTTCCAGGCTGCTAGAGTGAGGCTACAGGCATACGCTCGGGCAGATGCATCACGCAGTGAACTCGTCCGACTGCTCGAAACATCACAACAACGAGGTATGATGCAGTGTCGGCATGCGTGAGTAGTGTAGGCTGGCGTGCGCGTACACATGCCTTGACTTGTTAACCATCGGACATCGATTGACATTCAGGACTCGTTGACGGCACAATTCAACAGTTGCTGCGGGGTATCACCCGGGGTCTCAGCGTCAAAGGACAACAACGCCAGCCGGAGGAGGTAGCTTTTTACATTGCCCCTTGCAGTGACGTGGGTGTCCGTGCTCCAACCCGTTGTGCTGACTATTGACCAAATGCACATTGGCTGGCGCCTAAGGTACGCGGGCCTGCTGTGGGGTACATTAAAAGCCAGGAGCATGGCCATGCGTTCACGGGCGAATGACTGGTACCAAATAGGATCAGCAATGTCGACACTGTAACACGTGCTGCAGGCGCCAGCTCATCAACCCTCGGAAGATGATGATGATCGGGCCATACCTCATCAGCTTCCCTGCACTGCGCGCGCTGAGCAAGCGCATGCCCCATGTCAACATCTCGTCCCAGGATCTCAACTACAAGGACAAACAGAACCAGCGCGCCACTCTCAAGTAGGCTCTATCCAACCTGGCATTAGGTACAGACTGGTTTGTGGCTGACTTACCGCCATTCACTGACAGACAGGTTGGCCGACCTCGACATGGATCCCTCAACTGGAAGCGTCAAGGCAGTCAGTGTGCTGCGTGACGCACTGGAGACAGGTTCACACAATCCGGTTGGCGGTGATGGTCCTATCGTTGACGGCTCGTATTATGCTACCTTCCTCTATGTGACGTTCATGCATTATTTAGTAGCTGGACGAATGAAAGGTGTGGTTAACATGCCCCTGGTTTGGTTCGGTTCGGGTGGTGGTATCTTTTTGAACACATGTAGTCTGGTCGAGTGCCGGGGGCCCTTAGCAGGACTGAAGCACAGTTCAAGACGAGGCGTGTGGATATGTCTGCTTGTCTGAACGAAGGAATGAATGAATGAATAGACCGGGTGTTAAAATTGTGAGCGACTTGCCATGCAGACACACCTTTGGTTCTGGTCGGTTCGGGTGATGGTAACTTTTCACACATACACACACAATGAATGTATGGGTGAATGAGTACGGAGTACGGTAACAAGGCGTGTG